ATATTATATAATATATAATATTATATAATATATAATTCAATAAAAAGAGAGTACAACGTATACATATAGGAAAAATTATAAGAATGACAAGTTTAAGTAAAATGAAATTGAACTACAAATTTTTCCCATGTGAAAATATAATACAATATTCGTGAACCGTAACATGACTTATACATGATCGTCATAAGTATATCGAGGTCTCCAACGTGTTTCTTTTAAATTTTTATTACTGCCCTCTAGCGAAAAATGTCGAAAGATTATCTTCAAGAGAGGCGTAATTACCTTCGACTCTGCATTATGAAACGTCGATATTGGTCGTGTTTCCCAGAAACATCGAGTGGAACAGTTTCTAACTAACCGTGACGCAGCCAACACAAAGATAATTTAAGGTATAAGATACATAATCGATAGAGGGAAGGACAGACGACAGACTTGACAGATTGTAAAACTACAACTGTGCGAGGTCATAGAAGCACGTTTCTCGATCAGAAGTACGTGATTAGAAGAGATTCACGTATACGTCGACATATTTACCCGGATGGTAAGGGGCTTCCGCGATATAAGCGGCTGACATTCACTTCTAACGAGCGCGTACAGCACGTGGATAGAAGAAACGCACGCGTACACGATGCAACGAGACCCTTACGTAACTCTGCCCGCGTGTTTCAACGGTTAATTCACAAGCTTGCCGTTTCGATTTCTCTCTTACTCTTTCTTACATGAACGTGTTCTCTCACTCACTCTCATTAAGTTGCAAGTTCGATATCCTAATCTATTCGAATCGCACATTTTGTTTCTTACCGAAGTTAAATCAATATATAATGTTAATACAAAATTCCTTAGAAGATTAATTATTCGACAAACATAAATAATTGGTAAAAAAGTATGATGAGACTCACCTTTTGTAGACAGATTTGATAGAAGACAGTACGAGGGAAAATATATGCTTGCTTATTCCTTCTCCATACAATGAATACACATATTATAAATTAAATTTCACTCACATACACTTCCCGTATACGTAATACAAATAACAGAAGCGAATATTTGGATGCAAAACGATATTTTCTCAAATTTTTTATCATAGCGTCACTATGCTGTATCCGTTAGAAATTCCACCATGACACTCCTTCGATTATCGAAATTTTACTTGATCGCGATTTTTTAATTATCGATTATCGAAGAGATGCGCGCGTCGCTCTGCAGCGTGACGTCATAAGCATAACTTTAAGCAAAACGTTTGTTTCTTTCGAAATTAGATTATTTCAGTAATTAAACCGATATATAATGTTAATAAAAATCCGTTAGAAAATTAATTATGAGAAAAGAATACGATGAATGTGTAAAATTGAGACATATAAATATAAAAGAAAGATATTTTTCTGGTCGACAGGTAGAAAAGAAATCATAATTTATAATAAGAGTTTAAAAAATACAACAGACGTAAATAATTCGTGAAAAATACGAGAAAACTTACTTATTCATTTAGGTGTCGTTGATAGAAGACAATACCAGGGAAAGTATATGCTTCTTTACACAATAAATAGACATTATTAATTAAATTTCATTCTCACGTACTTTTCTTATACAATACAAACGACACAAATGAATATTTAGATGCAAAACATATGTCTGCAGTTTTTTCTCAAATTTTTTTATCAAACGTCACTATGCTGTGATACCCGTTAGAAATTCCACCATGACACTGCTTCGATTATTGAAATTTTGCTTGATTCGCGATCTTTTAATTTCGATTATCGAAAAGAATGCGCGCGCCGCCCTGCAAGGTGACGTTACGAGCATAATTTTAAATCGTAATATTTCCTTCGAAAATAGACTACTTCGTTAATTTCACTTACAAATTCTGAAATATAAATTATGATTCACGAAGGAAATTAAATTTATTTAAATTTAATTCTTTTCATATTGACAATCAATGACATTGATACGTAACATAAAGAATTATTGAAAAAAGGAAATTACATTGCATTTCCATTAATCAGCACGTATGTACATAAAATCCAAACAATTGTATTATTTGTATTATAAATATCGAAACTTGAATAAATAAATATTTTTACGTTGTAATCCATAAACGGCTGGTGTCATTAGAGCACGTGGCACGTTTTGCAGGGACACACGTGCTTTCTTATATAACTATCACTTGGATTATACTCACACGTTTCCTAACGATAAAGTCAACACGAAACATTCGAGCATTTTAACAAGCACACGTGAACACAAATTATATCTGACTGCTTAGAATCATATACATTGTGTATGTAATAAATAATAAGATAGATACAAAAAATCGATAATTCAATAAATACTATTAATATTTCGTAGATCGCGGGTTATCTTGGAGCTTTATTTTCCCTCCACAAATTACTAACGACAAAGTTACTAAATCAAAGTATTATTATTCCAGACGTTTTATCGTGGCTAATTAACACGTTATGAGAATCCGTCGCGTAATATTTGACCGATCGCGCTCGATATCTTATATAATTGTATCGCGTGCCCTGGCAAAAGTTCACGCGTATGTCATCGTTATATCGCAAACGTTTTAAGTTTTAACATCACAAACGTTATGCGAGCACCATTTTCACTCGTAACGACGCTAAACGAGACTTTTGCTCACCACTCAAGTCGAATATACCATATATATAAAAAATGATTAAAAATACTTGTATCCTTATAATAATTTAAGAAAATTCAACACCACGTCCATACATACAATCGCGATCAAACGATGTTGTACGAATACAACAATTCGTTTGACTCGGTTCGAACTATCGTTGCTGTAACAAAAAGAAGCGCCAAAATTTCGAACGTTCAAACGACGAAAACGTTTCTCGTCCCAATTATTCGTATTTATTTCCGTAATTTTTCCATAATTAATATCGAAAGGATCGATGGTAGATTTTTATTCCTCGGCGTTGGGTTCGCTGACACTCCCGACCTTGGGGAATAGCCCGACCTTACCCAAGGCTATTTTGCGACTTGTACCCGGACCGGTATTGTTGGCAGTACGGGCACGTCCCTCGATCTC